GGGATCGTCAAGCTGGTAAATTGTTTCTATCTCAACAAAAATACACTGAGAAAGTGTTTGACAGATTTAATATGTCTAATTGCAAATCTGTTTCTACTCCACTTGCTGCACATTTCAAGTTATCATCTGACCTTTGTCCTAAAACAAAGGAAGACATGAAGCGTATGTCACGCATTCCTTATGCTAGTGCTGTTGGCAGTCTTATGTATGCTATGGTATGCACTAGACCTGATTTAGCATATGCCGTTAGCATGGTGAGTCGGTATATGCATAATCCTGGAAAAGATCATTGGAGTGCTGTAAAATGGATTTTTCGGTATCTCAAAGGTACTTCTGATATTGGCTTGGTATTTGATAGAAATTATGCAACAACTGAAGTTACAGGTTTTGTTGATTTGGATAATGGTGGCGATCTTGACAAAAGAAGATCTCTTTCTAGTTACATATTTTCTCTCTGTAACTGTGCTATTAGTTGGAAAGCTCAGTTTCAGTCTCTTCCATCATTATCTACGACTGAAGCTGAATATGTTTCAGCAACAGAGGGTGTGAAAGAGGCTCTTTGGCTTAAAGGTCTGATCAATGAACTTGGTCTTACACAGGATGTTCTTACTGTGTTTTGTAATAGTCAGAGTACTATTTACTTGACCAAGAATAAACGCTACCATGACAGGACAAAACATATTGATGTGAGACATCATTTTATCCGAGAAATTATTGCTAAGGGTGAAGTCGTGGTTCAGAAGATTCATACATCTGAGAATCCAGCTGATATGCTTACTAAGCTTCTTCCAAAGGCCAAGTTCCAGCATTGCTTGGACTTGGTTGGTCTCTACAGCACTTGAATGCCCTTCGGGGTTTAAATGACGTCGAACAATTTATCAAAACTAATCCAAGGTGGAGATTGTTAGTAGGTGGCTCACTTTGTCAATGTTTGCAGGCACTAATTTTGTTGTTTTTAATCTTTGTAAGCACTGATTTTTTCATTTGGTAGGCACCGAATTGCTACAGTAATTGTTGAAAAACTTTACAAAATTTTGCCTATAAATACCCAGTGTAGGAATGAATGATAGACACACCCAAATTACGATCTTTTGTATATCAACTTACGGATCGGAGAGAAATTGAGAGTATTATTTTTGTAGCTCTTATTCTACTTGAGAGAGTATTTATTGAGAGAAAAATAGAGTGATTTATTACTCCGTTCTCATAATTTTAGAGGACTTCTTGTACTCTCTCTTTTACATAGTGAAATTATTTTGCTCGTCGTTGTCCGTGAGTTTTTTCTCCGATTTGGAGTTTTTTCCATGTTAAAATCCTGCCTCTATTATTCTCTTCCTTCTCTTTATTTCCAATTAAATTCGATCCAGTCTTTCGCATTGCATTGATACCTCAACAAAGAAGAATAAAAGAGAGCATATAGATAACATTCTAATGTTGTTGTTTTTTCTGAATTTTTCTCACTCAGTCATACCCAGAAGGTGAACACTGAATATGAATTGGCTGGCCCAGCTTTAGAATATGGGGTTTCAATGATATTGAAGTGCTTTCTGTAAAGAGAAAGAGAATGGAGACTATAGCAAAAAGAGTAGCATGGGATTAGGAATAAAATGGTAGAATGCTAAGTTATAACTCATCCTTTGAACTATGTTTTCAGTGGTGTGTATACTATAACTCTTAAGTGTCTATTGCTGCTCTTATTTAAGTAATTTTATCTAAAATACTCGTTTTTCTCTCTTATAATCATATAAATAACAGTGGTATTTTAAATAAAAGTTACTTAAATAGAAGTGATAATATACATCGTCCTCTGACCCTTTTTTAACATACCGAATGCTTTATAAGTCAATAGCTTATGACCGTAATAACCAATTTTTTGGAAAAAATAGACTGTGGCAGTTTATTTCAAGAGACTGAATTATAACCTGTTATTTGAAATTGAAATCACCTTCGCTTTATTTGTAATCTCAACTTCTTTTAACATGTTTATATTCACCATTAAATACTTTGAATCTACTTTAGTTCAATGCTTCTAATTATAACTTCTGTATTGAGTTCACGTTTACAGAACTTCCAACGTGAATCCAGGACAATATGAATTGGAAAATGTTTGTTGAACACCTCAAGATACCTTTAGCTTTAGGTGTCCTTTTGCGTTTTGTAGTGTATCTTTGGGACGTGTGCATGCAAAAAATGTAAAAAGTAAATGAAAGAAAGAGATAATTGTATTTGATGTCTATATTTAGTAGTTTAAATAATGGAAGCACACTATAAAGCAATCAGTTTTATTTTTCATGTATATTTCTGCTTTTCATTATCAATTCAATAAGGATAAGGTTTGAAAAGAAGTCTCAAATCCAGATTCTCATTTGGTACAAAATCATATGGTACTATCAAGTCAAACTGGTGAGTTCTCTGTTCAAATTGTAGAAGTGATTTCTGTTAAGTGGCATATGTGTCTGCGAGCAGTGCTTATTTTAGTGCATGTTCTTCACAGTAGGATTCAGATTAGTGCAATTTACTTGTAAAATCACATTATTAGTATAAAATATATGGATGGGATGAGAATCAAAATTCTTAATTCTGCTACCTTTCTAAAATACCCTCTAATGCAAATGGCAATACGTTGCTGAGATTAAAGATTTTGTCCAAATCATTCATCAATTGGTTGGACTCTCGACCCAAATAATTCATCATAGTATATATATACATGCTTGTAAATATACTTTTGAGAATTTCTTTTCGTACTTCCTATTTTCTATATCATATTTGTAACTTCCTCGAGCTTTTTTTGTTATACATTAAATATTAAATAAAACAGACAATTAGAATTATAGAATTATGAATTCAATGCACACAAAATGGACAAAAAAAACAATCTCATGATAATTATGAGGCTCCATGGATTAAAAAAGTTCAAAAAATGAGTATAGAGTAGATTGGATTAAAGCACCCTACAAAGCGTTGTTATTAAAGAGAATACGTTTCACAACTGATAGACTCGAAATTAATGCACTCCTCTCCCAATATACAGTCCATCATATTAATTGAGTGCAATGAAAGATCCCTTGAACAGATGAATACTATGCTCTTTAAATATATTTTTTATTCATAAAAATGAATAAAAAAAGAATGAATGAATAAATTTATTTATGTTTTTCGATGATATAATTTTCTATTTTTGAAATATAGCAAGTCGTGTGTCTAATTCTGTTTCTAATAACATGTATGAACCTATTCTCAGCTTGTGAAAAATAACATGAATTTCATAAGTTGTTTTAATAAGTTTCTTAGTATAGCTTATTAAAATAAATTATTTTTCACTAAACATTTTTTTCAACATAAGCATTTATTTATTAATTCAATATTTATTTAAATTATTTAAATATTTTTTAATTTAAAAATTATCTCCTTATTTAATCTATTTAATATAATAGAATCACTATTTTTAATAATTACATATTTACTCTCTTTCAAATTTATAAAATTTTAAAATAATTACATAATATATTTTTAATTATTTATTTAATTTAAGAAAATCACTGGGGAGAAAAAATTCATTAGTTCCATAGCACAAAATACAGTCAAACACGTTGAGGAGAGTGAGAGCAAAACATTGAAATCAGTTGCATTAAGTCCACCACTTTGTAATCTTAAAAATTGGAACAAATTACAGAATACATCAACTTCCATAGATAATTTATGAGTACAAAATTTTAAAGGTAAAATCTATCATAACCTCAGTATTGAGGTGGCATACAATACTCTCTTTATATGTACTAAATTTAATTTTATATTTAAAGAATTTAAAAAAAATTATTTTCTTATTAACCTTTAAAAATATCAAATTATTATTGTCAAATTATCCTTTAATTTAAGATTTAAAAATTAATATTATTCGTTAACTTTTTTTTTCCCAAATCTCAAATCAAATTTAAGATTCTAAATTCTATTTTCACCCTAAAAATACAAATTAAAATAAACTTTGACTGTGAGCAACGGTAGGTGAGAAATGCTTTCCAGATCTTCTCACTTCTTCCACAAAATTAGATCTTTTTCTTCATTTTCATCTTTGCAAGTGCAATGCAATAAAACAGACATGTGGTGAAGGCAAACCTTTGACGAAAGTAGTTAAGAGTTTAGTAGTACGTAGTTTTTAGTTAATTTTAATATTTTTTTTTTAACTTTTTATTTTATTAAAAATTTATTAGAATTTTAATTTTTATAATTTTTTTTATCTTACTACTATTTTTGGTAAAAATTGTTGAAATTTAGATATTGATTGCAGGCTATTTAGCGTCAAAGCACAGATCTATGTGCTTCAAGGTGCCGCCCAAGTGTGACAATGTGTTCTCAGGTCATTTTATGTCAAAGTGCAAGTTTGTGTGTGCTTATCACGTTTAGCTAATGAAATTACAGTACTTTTAGTGTTAAAGACGTTTGTGTACCAAGATACAACTTTATTGACGTGAACAAAAATACATATTATGTAAAATAAAAGGGATTGAGAGACACATTGGAAAAGAGGAGAGTTTTATGTTAATCGATAGTGAAGTTAGTAATTTATTTAAAAATACGTAAATACTCTTTAATCTTAATAGTAGAAAAATTATAACAGTCATTAGATATATAATACCCTTTCACCGTTATCAGTACTGTAACGAGTACCTAAAAAAAATATTAAATTAATTGAACCAATATTATTAGTGCAGATACCTACAAACCAAATTGAAAACCATGCTTGCTCTAATTTCTTTTTTCAATTTGATCCCGGATACCTACAAACCAAAATAATGAGCTTTCCATAGGAACTGTCAAACTTTAGCTGGATCAAATTTACAGGTTCTGTCTGTTCATGTTTTGCATCAACACATTACATAGTGAATGTTAAGTGTGTGCTTGAATTTTCATTGAAAGATGTGTAAACGTAGTTCGAGTGCATGAATCACTTCCTTTCCTGATCAAGAAAATTCAATCTTCATTTGCTCATATCTTCACATACTTCATCTTGCTTCAAACATTGTAATGGACATCTTATTTAGGGTGAACGGATTGCACATTCTAGATGAAGCTTCTGCGTTAGGCAAATCACTTCCAGTGTAAAATCCAGGAGCCTTTGGCTGAGGCAAAGTTTTCTCACCATTTAGCATAAGAACAATAGAGGATATGTCTGGCCTGTCTTCTGGTTTCTCTTGTACGCATAACAGACCAACATGTATGCATCTTATGACTTCAAAAGACTTGCCACTTTCAGCCAAGTGTTTGTCTATCAGTTCCAATGGTCTATCTTGATTCCATAGTCTCCATGCCTAAAACCATGAATATTAGTGTAATCACTCAGTTCAAATCGATACTAATGTGAGACTAAGCAACAAGTAGCAAAGTGGATAGTCTTAGTCTTTATGCTTACATGTCCAAGAAGATTTAGGTATTGTTCTGGGTCAGAAAACCCCCTATTCCTCTTCCCACTCACAATCTCTAATACTATTACTCCAAAACTGAAGACATCTGATTTTACTGAATAATGACCATGCACAGCATACTCTGGTGGTATGTATCCACTGCAAGTATTATTTGCAGATGAATAAGTAAAAAAAAAATAATTTCATATTCAACACTCATTAAGTACAAAAATATGGTAACTTACTATGTTCCGACCACTTTTTTTGTGTTGGCTTCAACTTGATCTCCCCAAAATGTCCGAGCAAGGCCAAAGTCTGAAATTTTTGGATTCATATAGGCATCTAGTAGGATATTGCTGGTCTTCAAATCTCTGTGAATAATTTTCAGTCTAGAGTCTTGATGAAGATAGAGAAGTCCTCTAGCAACACCACTAATAATGTGGAAACGCTGAATCCAATCCAAGAGCTTGCTTCTATGTTCATCTGATCAATTTCAAGTACAATATTAGTATACGATTTGCTTTATCAACTGGTTTTAAGGATAATCATATAAAGATTGCCAAAAATGTTAGAGCGTATGTTAAATTTAAAAGGAACTAACCAAAGATGAAGTAGTCCAAGCTATTGTTGGGCATGTATTCGTAGATCAACAGTTTTTCCTCTCCTTGAATGCAACAACCAAGAAGATTTACAAGATTTCGATGTTGAAGTTTTGCAATCAATGCAACTTCATTTTTAAACTCTTCCAATCCTTGGTCAGAGGACTTTGAGTGCCTTTTTATGGCAACCTCCTGCCCATCTATTAGTGTACCCTGAAAACATCATTAGGAATATTTAAACAACTTTTATTGAGAAATAGGTCTATTAGGTTACCCTGAAAACATCGTTAGGAATATTTAAACAACTTATATTGAGAAAATAGAGATTTTTATTGTATTTTGCTGGCTATATTCCTGGTACTGTTAGATTATAAAATTCCTACATTAATTGGTTAACACCAAATTGAAGGGTATATAAGCAAGAGCGCGATAAGTCTACATTGCTAAATTTTTTTAGTTAAATAGGCTATTCAAGCTTAAAGCCCAAACTCTCTGATCAGACCCACACTTAAATTCTAATAGTTACCTTATAGACCGGTCCAAATCCACCTTCCCCCACTTTATTTATGCTTGAAAAATTGTTGGTGGCGTTAGCAATGATTGACAAATCAAATGTTGGCAGATCCATGTCTTCTTTCCTCAGTCTATTTTTGTATTGCTTCCAATTGAACATTCTACCTGCCATTCAGGAGTTGCATTATGGCAATAACAATAAATTACTTACTATGACAACAATTGTCCTTATATTCTTTCATTCTTAATTTTTGGTGCCAATCTTTTATCAGTCTTAAAATTAATTACAAATTCAGGAATGACAAGATGTACCTATATTTTCAAGTTTCTGTTTTAACTTGGATGTTGTGCATCCAAGAATTATCAAGCCTATGACTAATATTATGGACACAGTTCCTATTCCTGTTAGGATCTTCTTTTTGAACTTTCCATGGTCATGGTCAGCAGCAAGATCTGACAAATAAAAGAGAATGGTTAGTAAGTACATTCACGCACAACATCTCAGTTAAGGCTTTGATAGTTGTATTTAATGCTCTTTAAACTGTTTCACACGCAGAAGAGTAAAATCATTGTAAGTTCCAACAAATTCTTTATTTAAATTGGATTAGCACTACTCTAAGTTTCCCTTGGCAGTTATCTCTGTAATTATGCTTATAAAATGAATGCTAGCAATACACTCTTTTGAACACACTCTTTAATATAAGAAATGTTAAAAGAGCATGACTGTCTTCTATTTTGCATGTTGCATTTCAAACTAAAATCTAGAAACTCATCCACTCTTCACACTGATATATGTGCAGAAAACGAAGAAACTTGCAATAAAGGAAAAGGACGAAGAATTTAAGAAACAAAATTTTACTATGTAGCTCTGATGCAGGAACTCGAATGTAAAGGTCTTGTCCCCCTTCAGCAAATTGCATAATGTCAAGCAAACCATCAAACCAAAGTAAGCATCCACTCCCTCCGTTGCGTATATCCAAACTTGCATATGCTGTACAGGAACAGTTTAGTAGACAGGATTTCTGGCATTCCGTAAGGTTCATGGTCTTGTTATACTGTGAGGAAGACGTGTCTGGCAACTTCAGACCCGTGTACTTTTGGAAACCATCATTATTATTACATTCCAATGGAATTCTCTTAATGCAGCCACTAGACCAATATGACACATTCCACTCTTCTGGATGTTTTGGTACAAATCCTTTCAGGCATGCACAGACAGGAATGTTAAAGATGTTGCAGATTGAATATGTACCACAGAAAGCATAATTTTGACACTGATCTGCTATGGCTACTGACATTACCTCCCAGCTACTTGTTTGACTTGTCCAAACAAAACGCTGCCCAACACCTAAATTGGAGATGACATATCTAGTGAAAACGGATCTATTCAGAAGTTCATCCTCATAATATAACTCTTTGTCATTGAAAACAAATTCATAATTAAATATAGAATTAGGCCTTCCAAATGGATATCCTGTAAAAGTAAGGCCATTCCAATGTCCTGCTCTGTACTTTATAGTATTTCCTTTTAGTTGAAATGATTGTGGATAGCCTTGAATGTCTATTTTAATTGTGTTGTCACCATGACCAGGATCTTCTGCACTTTTCCATGATGACAAAAACCATTCTACACCAGTTACCAAGTTCCATCCAAGCTTCATTCCTGGCAATAAGGTATCACATGGATAATCAAAACTCTGCCATAGAAGATTGTCCATGTTATTTCCATGTCCATTTCTTACTACAAGATTTCCTGTGTCCAAAAGCTGTGCAATTGGATTCTTCGATATGCTTGATGTATTAGAGGACCAAACAGTCCTCTTTGTGGCATCAAGAAGGACAAGAAGTCCTTGATCATTGACTTGTAAAACTCCAGAGGCATTGTTGAGTGGTGCTTCTCTGTTGGCCACCCATACCACTGTTGAAGGAGAATCCTTGTACCATACTCCAACATATAGTCTTCCAGAAGTTCCAGGATTGAAGAATCCCAGTTCAAAAGCTCCGGCGGCTGAAACTAATGTTTCGCCGTAGCGAATGGATTGACCTGGAGCAATACTGTCCAGTGAAGTGGTGATTGTCATGAAGAAGAATAAAAGATAGCATTTAGGTAACATTCTAATGTTATTCATTTTCTCTCAATTTTGGTGATACCAAGAAATTTTGTGCACAGTGCAAGAAGGTTAATATTGAATAGGCTGGCCTAGCTTTAGAATATGGGTTTGGGTGATATGAAGTGGTTTTTTTAAAGGGGAAGATAATTGAGACGATAGCCGTTGGAATTATGTAATTATATTAATATTCTAAATTGAGAAATTAGTATGTAATTATGTAACTGTATATTTTGTATATTCTGTATTATTTATTTTTATTATAAATATATGTTTTGGTGTGTGGTCACAACACACAAATTCATCCTAATTCATTTTATGTTTCATGATTTTTTTTCTCACCAATAGCAAAAAGAGTAGCATGAGATTAGGAATAAAATGGTATAATGCTAATTGATAACTTGTCCTTCGTACTACTTTTCCATTATGGATTTAGAATTTTGGATCTCTCCCATAACTTATTAACATAATTATGTTGTGTTAAGATAGACAGAGATAATATCGTGTTGGATGAGAATTCAAAAGAAGAAGTTAATGATAAATTTAAATTATAAAAAAAGATTTTAGAATTTAAAGATTTTTGTTTGAGTAGAAGTAAGACAGAGTATATGTATTATAGGTTTAACGAAGAACAAGATGAGAATCATGTGTTGAAAAATAAAATTAGAAATGATATTATATTACAAGTTTTCAATAATAAGTACTTGGGATCTACTATACAAAATAATAGAGCAATTAATGAAAATGTTTCTCACACAATACAAGTTGGGTGTTTAAAATAGAAAAAAGACATCATAAATTATTTGTGACAGTGAAATACCTGTCAAGTTAAAAGGAAAATTTTACGACTAGTTATCCTACAAGATAGTGAATAATGAGTTTTAAAGGAACAACACGAGAAAAATGTCAGTGTAAATAAGAATAAGGTCAATAAGTAGATACACGAAAAATGATATAATACAAAATGATAGTATATATAAGAATATTAGAATAACACTTATATAAAAAATATGACTAAAAATCATTTAAGGTGATTTAGTCATGTGAAGAAAAGACTTTTAAAAATCTTAATAAAGAAAGTAAATTGCAATACTCATGGCCAATAAGAAAGAGTCAAAGAAGACTAAAAAAAAAATCTTGACAAAGTTATTAAAAGAGACCATTTAATTAATTAAATTTCTGAAAATTTAGTTTTTTTATTCAATTTAATAGCATCGTATAATTTATATACTCAACCTCGTAAGAAAAAACTTAGTTGTTGTCATTGTAGAATGGACAAAAATATAAAATACAAGGGTAATTCAAATAGATTCCACGTCAATTATAAATATAGTTAAAAAAGTTTATAAAAATTATGATCATTCTTATTTTACAAGCTAACTTTTTGGAGTCAAGTCAAATAAAGTCTAAACCCAAATTTAAGATGGTACTGAGAACTTTGACTGTAAAACAAAAAATCTAACCCCACTAAGTTTCAGTCTTGAGCATGAGCAGGTATGTTGAGACCCAAATTTAAGAAGACTCAACATAATAAATTACTGTATAACTGCTAGGAGTTGTTTGTGAAGGAGGGTTTTAGAGAGAAGGGGAGGAGAGGAATTATTTTATATTTTAAATAAATATATTTAAAATTATAATTTTTAAAAATAAAAAATATAAATTTATATTAATAATATATTTATCATCACAAATAGTATATAATTCTTTTAATACAAAATTAAAAAATAAGTCCTTCCCTCTTTTTCTCTTCAAAAACTCTCTCCTAAACATATATTTAGTGATAACATTCTTACTCCAAGCAAGAACAATGAAGACCCTTCTTAACGTTAGTAATCTCTTGCAAGTCAATAACTTAAAATGACCGTAACAACTAACCAGCTAATTAAAATCCAATGTTGTGACTGACAATGATAGATTGTGGCAGTTTATTTAGTCACAGACTGAATTATTACCTATTTTATTAAATTGAATCTACACCCTCACTTTATCTGTAATGCCAACTACTTTGACAAATTGAATTGGAAAATATTTGTTGAACACCTCAAGATAGCCGCCTTTAGGTGTCCTGTTGTGTTTTGTAGTGTATTTTTTAGATGTGTGCATACCAAAAAATAAAATGTAAGGGAGAGATAAAAAATAATTATCATATGGTATCAAGTTTTAGTAATTTAAATATATGAAGTTGCTGTAATTTTACATAGCTTTCACGAAAGACCAGAAAAATTGGAAGCACACTATAAAGCAATCAATTTTATCTTTTTAAGAATATCATCAATTCAATAAGGATAAGGTTTGAAAAAGAAGTGTCAAATTCAGATTCTCATTTGGTACAAAATCATTGATAGTATCAAGTCAGATTGGTGGATTCTCTGCTCGAATTGTAGAAGTGATTTCTGCTAACTGGGAAATGTGTATGCATAAAAGTACTTATTTTAGTGCATGTTCTTCATCATAGGATTAAGATTCCATGATGGTCATGTAATCCTTTCTGCGTTTCATCTTTTCAGGAGAAATATAATTGGGAAGATTAGTGCCATTTACTTGTAAAATCATACTATTAGTCTACAAATATATGAATGGGATGAAAAACAAAATTCTTAATCCTGCTACAATTCTAAAAGACCCCCTAATGCAAATGGCAATATGCTGCAGAGATTAAAAAATGAGTCCAAATCATTCACGAATTGGTTGAACTCCCTACCCGAAACAAAAAAGTTGCTGAATTTGTCCCGTAAGGCCCTAACAGCATAGTATATACATGCTTGAAAACACTATAGATAATTTCGTTTTACACTTATTATTTTATCTTATTTTAACTCGCTTGAGCTTTTTCATTATTTTCAAAAGTTATAAAAAATAATTTAGAAGAGTTTAGTTCATTTTGAAAGTTAAATTTTAGAAGGGTAATTTAGAATCACTTAAAATTTTAATTTGTGAAAGGATATTATATGTATATTCTAGAATAAATTTTTTGATAAAAAAGAGGTGGGTGTAAAGAGAAATTTCCAACATTTGAGGGGAAGGGAACAGAATGAAAGGAAGCCCGAGCATATCGAGTATACACACACACACTCACACTCACATGCCAAGTTTTACTCTTTCTAATGTGTTTCTCTAAATTAATATAACTAGAATTTCCGTAATTATCACCACTATATTAAATTTATATTCTTTATAATCAGGTTTTCAGTGATGCAAATTGAATAGACTCCGCTTAAATGTCACCAAACTAATCTTCGTTTGAAAAGTTAACTCTAGCTTCATTTGAGGAGACGTATATATAAGATTATTTTTATTTAGTGACTATCAATCTATCATAAATTTACCATCGGATTAAATAAGAACTATCTATAAAGCAGTGTACTGCCTGGATTCTCAATCTACTATTAAATAGTACAAGGAATAAGTAATGAAAGATAAGAAATATTTGTTTCACATATATGTGAAACAAATATTTACTTGATCTGATTCATAGTCCAATGTAATCTCAAATGACTAAATTGCAGAAAATGAATTTAAATTTATTTAAATAACAATTTGAATGTGAATGTGGCATTTACTAACTTAATCATAATCCAATTATATTGCATATCAAGCACCTCAATTAGTCCAGCAAATATGTCTTGTTTTCCAAAACAAGTTGCAGTTTAAATGTTTCAACAAGAGAAGCCTCTCATCTTGCTTCCACAAGAGAATCTGTGATACCATTTACAGAAAAGTTTTCTGGCATGTTTCTGGAAAATCTTGAATTTTCATCACCTCTCAGATTTAGAAATGCAGGTGGTTTAGGACAAGGAAGGGCCACAAATTCATTCCCAATCATTGATACAACATCAGCCATTGTTGGCCTATCTGCTGGACTTTCTTGAACACAAAGAAGTCCTATGTTCACATATCTTGGTACCACATGCGTACTAGAGGTATCTTCCAGTGTTGAATCCATTAGCTCAATTCCCTGATTGCTTCTCCAATGATCCCAAGCCTGATTTAGCAAGAAAGCCCAAAATTACGATGTTTGGAGCATATTTTGGGAATGTACAGTTGATCTAATTTAATGCACCATTTCAAAATGTCTTAAAATATTCACAATTCATGAAATTGACTTGAATTCCAACCATGCAAATCAAGAACATTTGAGTGGAGTAAAGAAACTTACATATCCAAGAAGATTGAAGGAATTTGTTTGATAAAGACCAGTATTCTTTTTGCCATGTACAATCTCCAACAACAGGACTCCAAAGCTAAATACATCTGATTTTATTGAGAAAAGGCCTTCCATGGCATATTCAGGCGACATGTAGCCACTGAAAATCATCAACACAGTAATTAATATATGATTGGTATGTGTCTTAAATCTTGAAGGAAACTATATGAATCTATGATTACTTCTATCAATTCACCAGTGTTCTTTTGTTGGACTTACTAAGTTCCAACTATCCGGTTAGTATTTGCTTCAAGTTCATTCTCACCAAATATTCTTGCCATTCCAAAATCTGATATTTTAGGATTCATGTTGATGTCTAACAATATGTTGCTAGCTTTTAGATCCCGGTGAATGATGCGGAACCTGGAATATTGATGAAGATAAATGAGTCCTTGAGCAATCCCATCAATAATCCTAACTCGTGTTCCCCAATCTAGCATCCTCCTTTTTGTTGCATCTGTTTTGCATTAAAACATGTCAATACCAAAGTTTGAGTTTCATAGAAGGGATCATATTTTGGAGAGCTGCAAGTACTAACCAAAAAGAAAAAAATCTAAGCTTTTGTTAGGCATAAATTCATAAATCAGCATCTTTTCATCTCGATCAATGCAGCAGCCTAGAAGTCTAACAAGATTGTTGTGTTGCAGTTTTGCAATTAATAAGGCTTCATTTCTCAACTCTTCCCACCCTTGACCAGATCTTCGGGATAGCCTTTTCACAGCAACTTCATCTCCATTCAATAATTTACCCTGCAATTCATTTTTTGCAGAGTGTAAAATCTCAGCATCAAAGGAAAAAGTGTAGATAAGTAAAAAGAGAATAAAGTACGTTCGTTAGTAGTTTAGTATTTTTTGATTTACCAGAGTTATATTGATTACATTCCATAAGAATCAAAGTTCACTTGTATTCAGAAAGTATTGCTAAGAAAAAGGTTTTTTTATACTTGCCTTGTAAACGGGTCCAAAGCCACCCTCACCAAGTTTATTTGCATCTGAAAAGTTATCAGTTGCTGCTGAAACACTCACAAAACTGAATAATGGCAATTTAACTTCCTTCTTTTTAACTTTCACACCCTTGTCTGTTTCACTAAGCTCAGAGTCTGTGATTTTCATGCTCATGCCTACATCAAAATGTAGCAAATCTTCTCCTAGAAAGTAAGGAGAATTAGTTCATATGATAAGTTGCCTAATTTAATGGTTGAACTGGTCATATCATCTACTGCAAAATCTTGTTTCTCTCTTACCTTTTCTCCTTTGCCTTCTAGTCCAGTAAACAAATAGGCCCAATATAAGAAACGTTAGAAATGAGATTAGTATAACAATTAGAAGTAGATCCCTCCTCCTGTTTTCATGCTTGTGAAAATCATTCATTGGTTCTTTACCATTTGTTGTGTTTGACTCTGCAGAGAAGAATTATAAATTATCCAAACCCATGTACTTTTGGCTCCTAGATGTACCTAAGCTGAGAAATAAAGAAAAGGGACGAGAGGGAAGGAAAAGACAAATTGCAGCTGAATGAAAATCAACTCATGGATTCTAATTTCTAGTATAGCTACATAACATGTTGACATAACTTAGACAACACATCTCTTTGCAATTCTATTGATTCCATATATTCCGGTGATCCTTATCCTTATTTTCAAGGATATTATCACAAAGTTAGTTGTTAGCGGTATCTATTTTTATCTGTTTATTCTGTTGTATAGAGAATCTCTACTCTGTTCTAGGAATCTACTTAGCAGCCCTATTTAGCAACTGTGTCAAATTATTTATGAATAGAAATCCTCCTCAGTTCTTTACTTATATAGCCAAATGAAAGATATCTACATCAAGGCAAAGGAACATACCAGTGAGAATCAATTCAGAGGCAGCAAGTCTGAGATAAAAGCTTGGATTAGTATTATAAAATTTATCCTCATATGTTGAGATGTTCTTTAGACTCAATACCTCACCTAGCCACAATTGGCAATTACCGTTTAAATCATAAGCATAAGCAACACAAGAACAATTTCTGGAGCAATTACTTTCACACTCTTTCGCCATATTGGTCTTTGTTTTCTCACTATATCCGTCCAAAGTTGGTGGTAATTCCACTTCATTGAACTGGAGGAATCCATCATTACTGCTGCTATTTCTGCAAGACAAGTCCGTTTTCCTAACGCAGCCAGCAGATTTGTTCCCCTTCCTCCACGAATCAATATCAAACGGCTTGAAACCATGGAGACAGTCACAAGGGTGAAGAGCTTGCGGGTTACAAATGGAAAAAACTCCACATGAATTGTTCGTTCCACACTTTGATGATTGTAAAGAAACCCAACGCTTTGCTTCCTCTGACCAAAACTCCTCATTAAGCTCACCAGAAACTTCTAGTACCAGCCTAGAGTTACTATCCGCAGGCCAAGTCCAATAATCTAAATTGTTCATTACCGCACCAATTCGGTTAATAACACTCTCAATAGTTACATTTGAATGGTCATCAATCCAAAACACATTAGAACCCTTATTGACTATTAAACTGGCCCTGCCAAAATCGTACTCCAGGGAAAAAGCTCCTGGAGCAGGATCATTAGCACTTGTCCATGATCTTAACGACCAAGTGTAACCTAAGGCTGCATCATGTCCTAGGTTCATTCCTGGTAAAAGGGTATCGGTTGGATAATCAAAACTCTGCCACAAAACCGCTTTATTTGAGTTGTTGAGCAGTACTAAGTTTCCCGAGTCTAAGAGCGTGGCATAGGTACTAAAATTATTTGAAACGTTGTTCACATGGTACATCATTGGTCCATCTATGATCACAATATTTCCATCAGAATGAATAGTAAGAACTGCTGAGGATGTTTGAACTGCGTAATCTCTATTAGCAACCCACACAACCTTGTCGTGTGGAACTTTTTTAAACCATATGCCTATGTAGTACTTGGTGGTGCTGTCTCTGATTCTGGAGAAAAAGCCCAGTTCAAAGTTGCCACCGTAAGAAACAATGGTGTCTGAAGTTCCCAATGATTGCCCCATTAGTATGAATTCTTTGTTGGTTGTTGCATTGATGCAAAACATGCAGAAGCAAAACAGTGTTGATATGGACGTAAAGGTGGCTGAAGAAAAAGTCGATGCCATGTTTGTTCACAAGACTGGTTTCCAATATCTAACACAATGTTGCATGTCAATATTTGTAAGAACCAACTTGACGAACTGTTACAGAGGAAGGTTCCAACTTCCAAATGGTACCCAAAAAACATTGGTGCCAATGCACCTGGACATTATATTTACCTCTCTTAAATTTTAATTATTATTTTTTTATCTCTTTTTATCATGTTGCATTACCTATTATATTTTTCCTTTAAATATCATCGTTAAATGAATACGTTAAATACGTCTATAACTATATGGCGTGAGTAGTAATAGAATAATTAAGTAATATACAAATAGTGTTGTATCATAACTTTTTGTTTCAAGGTTTTAGGTTATAGTAGTGTTCAAGTTTATTTGTATTTGGTTTATTCAATGACTTGATATAAGTGGTATACAACCTTTTATCATGTAAAATTAAATTTTGGACAAAATTTAGGTATATTAGAATAGATAGTTTTAGTACTAGTTTTTAATTAAAATTTTATCTTGACATATATGAACTTTTAATATCAACTTCTATTATATAAATTATCAAAATAAAAATTTAATTTTAATTACATAACATGTAGCATGTGTTTGACTAGACTTCAAAAATAGAAAATTCAAGTCTCGACCTTTTGGAGTATAGTGGTGATCCAAGTGGACGACACTGAAACAGAGCCTAGTGTCACTTGCTAAGTGGTTGATGGACTAGGTCAATGTCATATTTATTGACCAGAAAAACTGTCATGATCTAAATTTTACTATCGTGACTATAAAAATTTGGTTTGAATTGGACTGATTTTTAAAATAAAATTTACAATGTAATGTAATAAAAAAAATACTTTTTACAATTTTTTATTAATTTAGTTTTTAATTCAAATTTTACCAACAATTCAATATTAATTGAATTACATGCTCAATAATAATTTATAAGCATTTTTAAATGTTTTTTTAATAAATTAAGTACTTATTAACTATATGTAGCATCACATGTAGTGATAATCTTTTTAGTAGTTTTAAGTACAAACTGTATTTGTTTAGATTAGTAATGAGGTCCTGAATTGATGATGGGCGTAGTCATGGGAATGCTGATATAACACATTGATGGGTCGCTCTAGGCCTTAACTTTTTGGGAAATCAATATTGGGCTTCAACTCAGGTTTGGTCTTGGGAAAATAAAAGACTCTTCCTGTTTGAATGAGATATAAAATAGAGACGAAATAAATAATAAAAGATAAAATAAAAGTAAAATTATAAGAAATAGAATAAAAATAGAGTGAAAAATGTTTAATATATAGATAAGATGAAATAAAAGGAAAAATATTTATAAACATTAAAAATAATTTTAAAAATTTATTTATACGATTATGTATTGATATTTGAATTTATTCATTGCATTTTTCTACAATTTTAGGCTTGAGAATAACATTGGCAAGAACACATCCAATCCCTAATAAGATTATTTTGATCTATATTAATTTTTGTTGCATGATATTTTATTTTCATTAAAATACATTTTAAGTGGATGGCTCGAATAATGATGAGACTAGAAGCAGTTTCGAGCACAAAGATTCTAACATTGTGAAAAACATAATAAACAATTTAAGGGTAAGAACAAGAGGGCAATGAATCGCCCTGGAAATAAGGTAAAGCTCGAAGGTTCATTGACTGACAAGTTCATAATGATGATAGTTATTAATAACGGTGCCTCTCTGTACATTATTGGCTCCAAATCTACGGTTATGCATCGGAAGAGGGTGGTATTTAAGCTACATTTTGTTTAACAAGGTGTTTAGGTAATTTAGATTAATTAGTTTTACTTATTTAAAACATGAAATTTTAATTTATATTTGTAGGCATATGAGCTTGACAAATAACCTATTGCATTTGATATCATGGGAAAAATGAAGAAGAACGCACGCTAAATTAACAGGAAAATAAGACGGTGAGGAATATTGTAAGCATTCACATGCTTTAAATTTGAACATCAATTCCTTATATTTAATATATTTAAATATGTATATTATTATTATTATTATTATATCAAATATTAACACGCGCGTCAACATGGATAATTTATCATAAAAGATAATAAATTATCATAAATTGGCTAACTACGGGGATAACGGCGTAGGTAACATCGTTGTTGGTGTAAGTTGTGCGGCAGTAGTAGCACGGTGAAAAATGACAGTTTGTAAACAAATAATCTAAAGATTAATCTGGAGATTGGATTAGGTCCTTTTTGAGTTATTTTAAGTGTGTTGTTAACGTAACAGTAAAATGGACGTCGCAAATTACACAATCTAGCAAGAATAATGAATATGAAACTCGTAAAAACTGAATCACAACGTAGAGGTTCTTTGCAGAAAGTGCTAAATAGGAAACATATTGCAGAAACAAGAACTAAATTGCTTACAAGGAAATAAGCAAAAGAAACATAAATTAAAATGTAGAAGGGTAAATGTACGGGAATGTAAAGGTGCGTGAATGTAAACGTATGACTCATCACAATAGCGAACAACAGCCACCGTGAGTTTTCTTGTAGCTGGTGTTTGGCGCGATACAGGGTTTTAACGTTTAGAGATTTTAAGTGTGATGTCAGGATGCAAAAAGTCGTCCTTTGTAAAATGGCGCTTTTGAGTATTTATAGGCAGGAAGACCACTACCATTCTCCATCTTTTGCAGACACTTCTTAGTAACTACTTTCAATTGTTGATGCCCGTTATCCACGATTTGCTTGTGATCGTGTTGTTGGTTGGAACTTCTTTTGTAACTGCTATCGCCCACAATCTCCTTTGTGTAGTGGTGAATGTTGATAACTGCTGGTAACCGTATTATTAGTATAAAAATATATGGATGAGATGAGAATCAAAATTCTTAATTCTGCTACCTTTCTAAAATACCCTCTAATGTAAATGGCAATACGGTGCTGAGATTAAAGATTTTGTCCAAATCATTCATCAATTGGTTGGACTCTCGACCCAAATCATTCATCACAGTATATATATACATGCTTGTAAATATACTTTTGAGAATTTCTTTTCGTACTTCCTATTTTCTATATCATATTTGTAACTTCCTCGAGCTTTTTTTGTTATACATTAAATATTAAATAAAACAGACAATTAGAATTATAGAATTATGAATTCAATGCACACAAAATGGACAAAAAAACAATCTCATGATAATTATGAGGCTCCATGGATTAAAAAAGTTCAAAAAATGAGTATAGAGTAGATTGGATTAAAGCACCCTACAAAGCGTTGTTATTAAAGAGAATACGTTTCACAACTGATAGACTCGAAATTAATGCACTCCTCTCCTAATATACAGTCCATCATATTAATTGAGCACAACGAAAGATCCCTTAATCAGTTTCACATAATTGTTGCTTGCTATTCTTGTTTAATACTCTATTTTACAACGTCAATTTAAGCGCTACTTTTAATAACACACTTAAAAGAACTCAAGAGAACCTAAATCCAGTCTCTATATTATTTTTGGATTATTTATTTACAAATTGTTATTTTTTATCGTAAACAATGTTATAAAAATAAAAATAATGAGCTTTCCGTTGGAACTGTCAAATTTTAGCTGGATCAAATTCACAGGTTCTGTCTATTCGTGTTTTGCATCAACACAGAATGTGTTAGTCCCACATCGTGTGGGTTAAAATTTGGGAGACCCCTCTTAGGCTATAAATAGGGGCTTGGGGTCCCTTAACAAATCATCCCAAAAATCTTCTCTCCCACTAATTTTATATTACACTAAGCTTGTACTTGGTAGTAGTAGTCTCCTATTTTGAGGAGTAAATTTTAGAGTGATGAGTGGTGTAATATTTTTTCTTCCATAAAATATTTTTTTTTATCAGCAGTATTGTCTCTCTTTTATCTCTTATTTTTCTCATCTTTATTTTAATTGTGTGTTATTATACTGGTACTCTGGTCCTAACAGTGGTATCAGAGCCTGGTTGTTTATATTATTCCGCTGTAGTGTACATTGGTATAGTGCTAGAGGAAATTTTTAGTATGCTCTGTGGTTGCAGTATTGTTTGATCTGCCACATCAGAAAAGAATTATTCTTGTTACTGGGTATACAATTTTTGGTAGTGTAAAAGTGCATATATAGTGTGTACTTATTCACAGTCTACCATTATTATTGTTCCAGTAAGTAATACTATTCACAGTGAAAGTTACATAAGTCGGTATAATTAAGAGAGAAATTATGGCAGCAAAATATGAGATAGAGAAATTTCATGGGAGTAATTTCTCCTTGTGGAAATTGAAGATAAGAGCAATTTTGAGAAAAGACAATTGTCTTGATGCAATTGAAGGCAGACCCGCAGATATTTCAGAAGAAAAATGGAGAGAAATGGATAACAATGCTGTTGCCAATTTGCACTTGGCATTGGCAGATTCAGTGTTATCCAGTGTTGCAAAGAAGAAGACTGCAAAGGAGATTTGGGACACAATGATTAAGTTGTACGAGGTCAAGTCACTTCACACCAGAATATTCTTGAAGAGGAAACTCTACACTCTTCGAATGAGTGAGTCCACATAAGTAACGGACCACATCAACAATCTGAATACGCTATTTGCTCAGCTTACAGCCGCAGATTTCAACATAGTAGAAAATGAACGTGCGCAGCTTCTACTCCAGATTTTACCAGATTCATATGATCAACTCATCATCAATATAACAAACAACAACATTATCGGTCGTCTATCCTTTGATGATGTTGTTGGAGCAGTTCTTGAAGAAGAATCCAGGCAAAAGAATAAGGAAGATAGACTGGAAAATTCTAAACAGGCAGAAGCATTGACGATGATGAGAGGAAGATCAATGGAACGTGGTTCCAGTGGGAGCCAGAATCATGGTAGATCAAAATCTCAGAGAAGGAAGAACCTCAAATGCTACAACTGTGGCAAGAGAGGGCACGTGAAGAAAGATTGTTGGAACAAGAAGAGTGGAGGAGGGAAGAATATTGAAGCATCAACCTCTCAAGGTTGTGTTGTAAGTACCTCAGATGATGGTGAAATCTTATATAGTGAAGCAGTAAATTCTAGAGGTGGAAGACAACTTCATAAATGTTGGATATTGGGTTCAGGTGCAAC